TTTATCTGCATACTTACAAATCAAAATTGTTTTTGCTACAGCAATCAACTGTCATTCCTTAATCACCTTATACAACACATGATTATTACATCTCTTATATCAGATCTAATGGTAGTCACGACAACCGAAATATACGCTTTGTTCGTTTATATGTGGGCTTTTGAGATCACCATAAGATATGATATATGAAATGTATTCACCCTCCTTTGTGTCACTAAGGCAAGCAGAGTGCCAAAATTAGCCTATAAACCAATAATTGCATGTGGACGAAACGGACGTGGAGGCTGTGGATGCATGTGAGGACGACTTACTCTGCGATGTAGTGACTCTCGTCAAGCGGTGAGGCCAGAAGACCTGCTGTCTCAGAGGTCTGAAATGTGTTCTGCAGCCAGCTTTTGAATCCGGACTGGGTCTGGTTGAGGTCCATTCCGGTCGGATTCTGGTAGAAACTGGTTGTCGGCTCGCTGGGTCGACTGGCTGCGGCCGCGGCAGCAGCAACTGCTGCGGCGGCAACGACTGCGGCTGCCGTCTCCCGATCCTCCGGACAACTTGGTCGCAGACAAGCCGTACTTCGGCCCAGTCCAAGCATGGCCAAGTGGGCGATGGCATTTCGATAGGCCGCGTTGCCCACCGGTTCAGGATCACGACCGCCCAACTGGGCCCCAGCAACTGAGTCCGCCCTGCTGCGGCCCGGAGACACGGTAACTGGTGGCATCGGCGGAGGTGGCGGTGGTGATGGCGGCGGCGGCGGCGGCGGCGGTGGCGGATGTGACGGCAACCGGGCCTGGAGACCGGAGGAGGACTGAGTTTCTGCGACTGACGAGGCGAGGGAGAGGAGGAGATGAGCAGCGGCGGGCGGGGAACTGGGCAACGGATAGGCGAACTGGCCGGCCCAAAAACCGCTAGCAGCCGAGGCGAGGATGGCGGCCGACCTTTCCAGAAGGTCGTCGTCACTGGCAACCCGCTCCAGATGGCCCATGCCGACGCGGGCCGCCTGGAGACCGGAACCGGAACCGGCCAGGGCCGTGCCCCCCGGCTGAAGGTAGGTGAGAGAGGCGGCTGTTCTGCTGGCAACCGAGGCGCCGACGACAGCGGACAATGGTCCGTCCAGCTCCGGACCGGCCGGCTCCGCTTCGCAAAGACATCCAGTTGTCAGGTTGTTGAAAAGTTTGGTCGCCATGTCCAGATCAACCGGACCTTGTGTCTGTTGCACCGGAAGTCGGGGCTCGATGGGGCGGCCACCAGACGAGAAGAGGGACATGGTTTGATCGGGAGCCAGTCGAGGTTGCATACGAACGAAAGCGCTCCTCTCGGCCGGCTTGTTCACTGCAAAGGAGACTGTCGAAACGGCGACCATTACAGCCGCCGACCCCGTCGACAACAAAAGGAAGACCGAGTAATGACAGGGTGGCAGACAAGCCGAACCTTCACACCGGCGGGTCAACACCAAGTCTACAATTCCAGTGAGCTGCACCGAATTCGCCGAACAAACGGCTCCAGGACAGTATCAGAGAGGGGACCTCCAGAGACGGACATCTTCGCTGCCGCTTTACACCGGCTCACCAACACACACACACTCACAACGGCACCAACAAAGCATAGACACTTCTCCCAACTGTTCGACTGGGATGAAGTGAATTCAGGCACTCGGTCGCCCTAGCGTCTGGGGTCTGTCGACAAGGATCGAGTGCTTGCACAATGTGTGTAAGGGTGTGTGTAAAAGACATAATCCACACTGTTTTGCATGTGAAAACAGCCTAGACGCGGCTAACTCTGGGTCAAGCTGTTTTCCTGTGTCTGTCTCTCTCGGCCTATACGAATACAATTCGAGGTAAGTCTGCCGTTCATCTGTACCTCGTTATTTGTAAATATGCCTACTTTTCCAGGCGTGTTGGTCAGTCTGTCTAACGGTTGGCTACAACTGGCTATAACCTGTTTGTTATTGCTATGGCGAAAAAGTAAGCTGAAATAAAGTAAAAAGTGTTTTTTTCAAAGAAGTCTTCCTGTTTCGTGTGCAGACACTGAGACAGACCGAGTGAGGGTCAGTTGGGTGCATGCATGCCGAGACATGTAACTAAGCCATTTTGAAAGGAAAAGCACGTCTGGACCAACTGGCCGAGGCAGATGCACAAGTTGCAGATAACAGAAATCATATCTACCCATTCATACGTGTACGGATGAAAGGTCCCGATAGATGGTTGCCTCGCTAGTTGAACCACTTGGAGGCCTTGAAAGAGTCATGTCCACAAGTAGACACTCCTCTCCGTCCAGTCTGATTCGGCCAAGACAAGACGACACATTACGACAGATCAGAGACAGCAAGAGTCGAAAGAATGTGCAAGCATACGGATGGACCTTCATGTGACAGCCCACCAGGGTCTAGCTGTACGCGAGTCCGTTGCTCTGGCTATCAGGCAAATATAAGCCGACAATACAGCCCTTCATCCATGGCACAAAATTATAACTCTTGTATACATTTATCAATCTATACGCATATACTTGCAGGC